AATCACCAGCTCAGCTTCTCATGAGCAGACGGCTTCGCTCAATCATCCCCGTTACGGACAAACTTCTGCAACCACAGACATGCAAACCCGCTGCTGTACAACTCAAGAGAGAGCAGTGCCAAGCAAACCAAAAATCATACTATGACAGAGCTGCGAAACCACTTACCGCACTGAAACAAGGAGCCAACGTCTATTCACAGCAAGGTAACGTGCAATGGACACCTGCCGTTGTATCGCATGCCTTGGAGGACGTACACTCCTACATCATCCGAAACACCGAAGGTCAGGAATATCGCCGGAACCGCAAACACCTAATGGATGTTAAGGGACAAAACATAACCGAGTCACCAACGCCTGTTCCTGACTGTGCCGTGAATTCCCAGGAAGCTGAGCAAAGTAGCGTTACTACGGACTCAAATGCACACACACCTACACCGACTGATAATTGTGTGATTACCAGGTCAGGTCGTAGAGTTTGTCATGAGCTTATTCGTGTAAGTACATGTTTAATGAGCATGTTTATCACAAATGTGGCATATGCTTAAGGGATGGTGGAAAAAGAAATCGGATCTATACCATAAATGTTGCTGATACGCTATATATGCCTACTGAAAAGCACTGTACAATTATTACATTTGTTGTTCCACAAGGTTAGTAACTACGGGCATCTTATTGCGTTAGTAAGAGAGGTATTGAGGACTTGTTGTTATACACAGGAGTCGATAGACTGAAGTTCATTGTGCGAATGAGCCCTGATATTATGTAAGTTAAACTGTTTAATTTGCATTTGATTTGGCTGTTTACTGATCGTGAATGTTCGCGTGTTAAAAAAAAAAAAAAGGAAGATGTAATGATTGGTATCACTGTTATATGTGAAACTGCATTACCCATAAAGCTGATGGTCACAGGAAGTGACGTGTAAGGATAATAATAAAGAGATCCGCATAATGCATGACACGTACTGCATGGTGTCTCTGAATTGTGATTAATTTGATAATATTTCACGATGGAGTGAACAGAAAAGTATTACACAATCCAGCTATACAAAGCAAATCTGCATGTGTTTTTGCGAAGAACCTAAATAGTAATTTACCGAACCGTAATTTAGAATTTAGATTTAGTAATTTAGAACCGAATGTAATTAGCACTATTGCATTTGTAATTTGCTTGCGGATGTAATGAGCAAGATACAAAGAACAGACCCCAGATCACACGCAAAATCGCCATTCCATGTATGGTCTAAAACAGCTGTCATCATCTTTTGCCACAGAACAAAAATTTCGAGTAAATATTCTGTGATCGTTGCAGAAATGTAATATAAATATTATGTAAAGTGACAAATACATATCTTTAGCAACATTATTCAAATGAATAGCAGGCACAACATGCAGGTACTACCATAGATGTATGTGGGTACAATATGCATCAGCATGCACATTATTATTCTTTAGCTTGGGTTAAACAAATCAATGTTGCTTGGTTGCTGTCTGCTCGTTCCTCAGGGAGTGACTCGCATGAACACAGAGGTCAAAGACAGGTAAAGTCTGGAGGACGCTGCTCTAATGTGCTGACATCAGGATTTAGGCATCTAAAGTTTGTCCAACACAAAAGGCTACACTAACCTATACTGAGGGGTAAATAAATGAACCCTCAGTAAAGGTTAAAGAAAGAAGGGACTTCTTCAGAGCTCCTTCCTGCTCAGGGGGCTCTATGGTATCGTAAATATACATATAATACAACTGCATTAAATAATATTATGATATTCTTTTAAATATTTTTGAATATACAAACAAGAAATGATGGTGGAAATGATACTTTTCAACGAAATTAAAACGCCAGTAGGTGCCAGTAGTGAGCGTTTAATGAGTAAGTCATTGAGTCGTTTATTCAAACGATTCGTTCAAAAGGCAAATTCATCAGATGTTTATACATGGGCTAATGAAACTCTGATTCAACCACTTCGATTAAAACATGGAATCAATCAGCAATTAATCGGCTGGTTGCTGTGAGGTGCGCTGTGTTCCGCCTAAAATGTAAGTGACCTAATATTATTGTATTTTCCTATTGAACTGTTTATAGAACTATTAGACAGTCGTAATGGTGAAAATGTTGTGTGATGTTGCCTAACTAACTATTTTAAATATAAAAACTTTCCATTTAGAATTTTTACCTCAGGATGCTGAGTTTCTTAGTGTTGCGTGTTTTGATTTCTCCTGGAGAGGCTGTGAGCCTCGCCTCAGCAGCGCAACCTTATACTGTCAATAGATGCATTCTATACAGTAGCTATATCCATTATTCGCCACTTGCTCTAAATGTAATAAAATCAAAATAATACTTGCGTTTTGGTGTTTACATAGTTATTTTTGGTTACCGATGTTTTCAATCATGTTATTTGTCTGGCGTTAATGTCGAGCCCTGGGAGTCTATGTGCCGGGGCTCAGCCCCTGACGGCCCCGGCCCAGTTTAAACCCTGGCCATATGTACATTAACTGACAGTCATCACTGATAAGCTACTACTAAATATATTGTAGAAACTTAATTTTCTGTAAAGTTGCTTTACAACGATTTGTATCATGAAAAGCGCTATACAAATAAACTTGAATTGACATAACATGCATCATCATTTTTGAAAACCTCCAGTAGTTCACACTACAACATGAAGCTGTATTTTATCATTTATCCACTTGTGAGAGTGTTCAAAAAGCTCTGTTTTCGCTGGACTCGGTGTAGACGAAAGACTAAAACATAAAGAAAAAGATGTGTAGAGAAAAATGTATCCGCATTAATGTGGACGTAGCCTGAGCAGTGGTTACCCGAGCCGGCTTAAATGCAGTGGGAAAGTTGCCAGTAACGAAAGATGTGCTGATAAGGTGAGTCAAGAGTGGGTAGCAGTGTGGGTGATATTTCCTCTAGTAGGTGGGAGGGGATCGGATATAGGACGGCTGGCACAGAAAACTTTGGAGAAAGAAGAGTGGAAATGTGTGGGTGACGGTTGGTTTTAGAGAACTGGTTGCTGATGGATGCCATATTATTAATTATATAGCTGGCAAAGTCATCAACAGTCAGAGAGGAAGTGTGATATGGTGGAGGGGAGAGAGAGTAGAGAGGAGAATGTTGTGAATAGTTTCCGGGTGTCAGGTGTCAGTAGAAAACAGTATGTGTTTGTGTGGACTCATTGAGACCTGTGAGCCTTCCGTATGAGCTGATCACACTGACTGGTTCTCACGCCCTCATTTCCATCACCTATGCTTCATTTCCTGTTTGTATGTCCAAATGACCGGACCGTTCATTCACTCACTGCACATTCTCATTAGCTGCGCTGCGTTTCCTGCGTTTCCTGGCATTGTATGTTTGATTATGGCTCTAATCTGCAGTTCTTGTTTTTATTTGATTACATTTTGGATTTGGTTGCCTGTTTTTTTGGGTTGTTCTTATGTTTTGACTGGATCTTTTTGGACTTAAACTCCATATTTAGTGCCTGAATCATTATTTCTAACATTGCACATGTATGATAAATACATTAAATCGTAAAATGTTTTTTTTTTTTAAGAGTAAAGGGGTTTTATATTATAAGGGTTTTTGAATGTAATAAGAAAACATATAGATGAGCCTGTTAATAAACTGATTACATCAAGAAAGATTGCTCATGCATCAAGTTGCACATGCATCACAAACCCCTAATTACAGTTTTTTTTTAATGTTTTTTTTTTTTTTATATCAAATCCAATGCAAAGTGAGGAAAATCAATCAGTTCTTCACTGTGGACATTCACTTGTTTACATTTGATCACTTTGTCCAATATTAATAATAATAATAATAAAGTTATATTTATAAAGCACCTTTCCCACAGCTCACTTTACAATAAAATGAGTTTGTAGTTGGGATTTGAATACAGAAACTGAGGAAATGCTATAAAGGGAGTGTTCCAGAAGTATACAGCTCAGATAGAGGAAATTTACGACTAATGCATTAAAACTGTAAAACAATATGGACAATATGACATTCACATTATAACCTGGCTTATTATAATATAAGCACAATGCCTGGCATCAGTGAGTTTATTAAAAAACCTGTGGGGGGAGCCACATCCTGCCCTTCCTCGAGCCCACCAAACAAACACATCAAACTCCTACAGCGGGAAACAACCTGTTCACCGCTCCCACATTCCTGCAGCGATGATGGCATCATGAAGTGTTCCTCAAACATCTCTGACATTCCGATACAGACATCAAACCCTCATCATCCACAGGACTGAGCTCCAAACTCCTGACGCTTCTTACAGCAGGTGAGAGGAGTTTTATAGTATGTTGTCTAGTATATCATACTCTACAGTACATGAATATTGACAAGTATTTTTATGAGCTGTGATAAAATTTTGTTTGTTAATTTTATTTTGCACAAACATTATGATTTAGAACGTAATTTAATAGAAGTGAGTGTTAAACCATGAAATCATGCACCCTGTGCAATAACAGATCACACGTTGTATTTCAGTGCTCGTGTTACTGTGTATTAACATAAAGTATTAACTTTAGGCTGCTGGTTTGAACTAAACGCATTGTTCTAAGTGTTTGATGGCTGCTTGTAATTGCATTTTAAATGGTTATATTTTCAGTAGCACTTTAAAAGACATTTCTAGAGAGGTATGTGAACTGCATGAGCTCTGGCTGGAGTTGAGCCAATGAAAGCAGATGTGATCTCACATGTCTCACATGTTCAGCAGTGATGTCACTAGGTGTTATGTTGTTGTTTTGATTTGTTAACCCATGTAGATCCATCATGATGTTGGAAATCTACCTGGTAATGACAGTTGCTGCCAGTGCTGTTTCTCAAGAGGCAGAAGAGCCTGTATCATACATGGCAAGTGTATTTACATAAAACTATAAATAATACATATTATTGAGTATATAGTTTTGTTGTTGCTGCTTATATATATATTTTAAATTGACACATAAAACGTTCTTATACAGTGATTTTTTGTTGTTTTCCTCACGGCAGTGCACAGAAGGCTATGAATATGATCCCATTAAAGAGGTATGCAAAGGTAATAAAATAATATTGTTGATATAGTATATTTTGCCTATTTTCATGTATCTGAGAAAGTGATTCTAAATCCTAATGCTAGTTTTCTCTCCATGTTCATGAACAGATATTGATGAGTGTGCCATTGTCTCTGATGCCTGCAAAGGAGGCATGAAGTGCATAAACCACTATGGCGGCTACCTCTGCCTCCCTCAGAATGCCCAGATTTTTGTCACTAATGGAGATGAATCATCCCAGCGCACAGACCCTATTCCCCAAACCCCCCTTAACCCGCTGAACCCCACTAACCCACAGACCCCTCAAACTCGCACCCAGTCAAACCATAGAGGTGTAGCAGCTGGAGCCACACAGTGCTTGCTGGGCTTTACACTGGATGAGCAAAACTACTGCCAAGGTAAGCCATTGTTCTTAACACAACAACAGTATTTGTGGTAGCATTAGTCTCATTTATGGGCTGGGTAAGAGAACTCTTTTATTTTCCAATCATTGATTTTCAACAAACAGTGCAGTTAGTGCTACATTTTCGGATTTTGTTTGAAAAGTTTCTAAACTAAAAAGTTATTTTGAGTCAGTAAACAAGAAACATACATTTCAGAAAATTTTATTTTCCCAGCATTAAAAATGGATAAAAAGCCATAACATAATATTATAATTTCAGTAAAGGCAGATTTTTAGACAGAGTTTTTTTTTTTATATATGCAAACTGATTTTCGGGGCCCTGCACTGACATTTTGGGTGGCATGTACTCAACTGAAAAAAGGACACCCCTCTTTTTTATAAAAATTAGTTACATACTTGTCATGGTGTCACCAGACTCCACCGTCACTCCCTCACTCCGTTCACAGTCCCCTGAATACTGATCACCTACACCTCCACCTTGTCAGCACCCTTATCAGCTCCTGTATAAAAGCACACACTTCTCCCCAGCTCATTGTCTGGTCTACTCATTGGTATACGGACCACTTACCTGCCTACTTACCACCTGTGATTATCTCCTGCGATTACCTCCAGCATTCCCCCTGTGTCTCCAACGTCCTCTATTGTGTGTCTACTCGTCCAAGCCTCCATCACTGAGAATTGTGTGCACTCCAGCGAATCCACATGCAAAGACAGTAAACCTCTTCATTCTCCAGTATTGCATTGGTCCATTACTACTTACCCATTGCTACTCACCCACTTTCTGTGTTAATAAAATCACTGTGTGTATAGCCCGCTAATCCTGTCTCTGAGTCTGGTATTTCCATAACAGAAGACCAGAATAAATACCGCAGCATGAGTTCCACGGACCCATTTCAGGAGATTGTGGATTCGCTGCGACGGGCCTTAGCATCCACAACAACATTGATCACCACACCAGTCACTCCTTCAGCACCTGTTTGTGTGGTCAGTCCTATGGCCAACCTGGTGCCTTACTCTGGCTCGGAGGAGGGCTGCAATGGATTTTTTCTACAATGCTCACTGGCCCTCGAGATGCAGCTGCACCAATTTCCCACTGAGAAATCCAAGATCTCCTTTGTCATCTCTCTGTTATCGGGGCAAGTGCTCCAGTGCGCGGAAACCATTTGTAACCAGGATGGCCCAGTCACCCAGTCATTCAGCAGCTTCGTAGCTCATTTCCGAGAAGTGTTTGGAAGATCGCTTAGTGATTCATCTGTGGGTGAGCAATTGTATCACTTAAAACAAGGAAAGATGTCAGTAACAGATTATAATCTTCGTTTTTGCACTCTGGCAGCCGCTAGTAGGTGGAATGAGAGCTCGCTCGTCACCACCCACCGACAGGCATTGGAACCCAAGTTGCGGCTGCATCTCGCTGCCTACAATGATTCCATCAGTCTCAAATGCTTCCTTCAACTCTCCATCTGTGTTTCTCATCGTATGCAGACCTGTATGGAAGACCAACAGGGCCAACAGTCCTCCTCCTACCATGAACAGCCAAAGTATGCCAGCTCTCCAGAACCAGGTACGGAGCCCATGGTTGTGGACAATGCTTGTTTATCCCGTTGAGCGGCAACGACCGCTGGTCCAGGGTCTTTGTTTGTACTGCGGAGTATGATGGCATATCATCTCTGTATGCCCTGTCCGTTCTCCTCGACCTGTGGTGAGTTTCATTCATACTCCTAATTCTCATGCATCTCCACTCACCACTGAAGTTCCCCTTACTGCTCGTGATATCTGTTTCAGTACTCACCCTACTCGACTCTGGGTCAGCTGGCAACTTTATCTCGGGGGAGCTCTGCCATCAACTACAGCTCAAAAGAAGACCAATCGAAGTCAAATAACAAGTCCAGTCAGTAACAGGAAGACTGCTCAGCTTCTGTCATGTGCGTTTCCGTGTGGGATCCATCCAGCTCCGGCTTGGCCAACTCCATCAAGGATCCCTGGATGTCCTGGTTCTGGAGCAATCCACCGCTGGCATCATCCCAGGGCACTCATGGTTAATTAAAGACAACCCAGTGCTATTCTGGAAAACAGGAGAAGTCCTGAAGTGGGGCGAAGGCTGTTACCCTGAATGTTTCTCTCTCCTTCCATGAATTCTCCAGCGACCTGTGAAACGCACCTTCTTCTCCGGAAAATTCACCCTGGCGGAAAGGAAATAATGATATCAGGAATATAGAGCTGCTGGCTATCAAACTCGCCCTGGAGGAATGGAGGCATTGGTTGGAAGGTTCCAGACATCCCTTCATGGTACGTACCAATCATAAGAATCTGGAATACCTCAGAGAAGCCAAGAGACTTTACCCTCGACAAGCCCATTGGGCACTCTTCTTTACCAGATTTGACTTTAAGATGGCCTACAGACCTGGTTCTAAGAATGTTAAGAAAGATGGCCCCCTTGACGATTCTCCTGAAGCTCCTGAGCCAATCCTTCCCTCCAAGCTCATAGTAAGTCCCAAGTCCCATTCAATGGTCTCAATGGTCTACACATTTCAGAATTCACTCATCCTTCTGTATCATTACTCAAGCCATACCATAATCCTGTTTCTAATCCTTCCACAGAGCCTTGTCCCACTTATGAGCCCTTCTTCTGATGAAAGTGAAGGATGGTACCACCTACGCAGTCAAGGAAATCTTGGACTCCCGACGCTGTGGTGGGCTCTTGGAATATCTAGTAGACTGGGAAGGATATGATCCTGAAGAAAGATCCTGGGTCCCCAGAGATCATATCCTTGATCCTGATCTCCTCACTACTTCCATGCGCCCCACTCTGACCGTCAGGGTCCTCGGCCCTCAGGAACGGGCCATGGAGGGTGTACTGTCACGATGTCACCAGGTTTCCACCGTCACTCCCTCACTCAGTTCACAGTCCCATGAATACTGATCACCTGCACCTTGTCAACACCCTCATCAGCTCCTGTATAAAAGCACACACTTCTCCCAAGCTCATTGTCTGGTCTACTAGTTGATGTATGGACCACTTACCTGCATACTTACCTCCTGTGATTCTCTCATGCGATTACTTCCAGCGTTTCCCCCTGTCTCCAATGTTCTCCATCGCGTGTCTTCATCCAAGTCTTCATCCCAGAGAAGTGTGTGCACTCCAGCGAATCCACAATCCCCCCCTCCATCTGCAAAGACCTCTTCATTCTCCAGTAAACCACTTCATTCTCCAGTATTGCATTGCTCCATTAATACTTATCCATTGCTACTCACCTATTTTTTCAGTTAATAAAATCCCTGTGTGTATTGTCTGCTAATCCTGTCTCTGAGTCAGGTATTTCCGTAACAATACTGTAGATAATCATTATTTATTCATTCATTCAATACCCGTATACTAATGCAGATGTTATGCAGATGTTTAATACTCAACATAAAATTACCAGTTCACAGAGAACATGCTTTTTAGCATTCATTATTTCTACATATAGCCTATCACAAGAACAGGCAACAACAAATTAATTACAATTACAAATTAATTTCCAGGAGCATTTTTTTACCTTTACAGGGGCATAATTAGAATAATAAGACACTATAGGACTGTTATCTATCAAATGAAATAATTATCAAGAAAATCTTTACACTCAGATGTGGCAGAGAAGCTTTATCTTAGGTGGAATTTATTGTTGATGCATTTACACAGATTGTTTAATGCAGCTCAGAGGTGGCATGAATGTATTTACTCTTCAGTTTCAATTGCATAAATAATGTTATAAGATGTTTAATGTTTTAAATGTTTAATTGTGAATATATACATTTTCAACCTTGCACGACTATTTTATGCCAACACCAGACCAGCTTGCTTGTTGTTAAGCTATTGCTAGTTAGGCTGGTTGTATTCAGATGTTTTAATAGGGTTTTATTTCACAGCAGTGACAAATGTTGCTGACATATAAGACAGACACAATTGTTAACTGGCTGTCACAAATGAAAGCAGGTCAGGGAGCCGTGGATTCTCCTACAAAGAGCGTTAAATTTGTGTGCATTAACTGTGATGGCTGTGACAAGGGATGCCATGAAAATATTAAAATGAAAAATGCCACTTTAGTCAGAGGTCTATACTTGGGGTCTATATGCACACATGTCTGCTGCTATTACTATGCCAACTATGTAAAGGGACTGTTATTCCATTGAAAAACAAACATAAATATGAAATTGTTTTGTTTTAAAAGTTGTTTTGCATTTCTCACAAAATTGATTTAAATCTGTCAAATAATGTAAATGAAGTTCAGTTTATTGTTATGTCAGTAGTAAGTTATGGACAAACACATAAGCACACAAATAGTACGAGAATGACGTGGAAGCTACAAAGGACACTTGGTACAAAACAGGTTCCTCTGGGGAAACCGTGGTTTAATTAATAACCTGAGTCATTCCCCATAGAGCAGGGGTAGGCAAGTTCGGTTCTAAATAGCCGCTGTCCTGCAGAGTTTAGCTCCAACCCTGAAAAAATCTCACCTGCCTGTAGCCTTAGTAATCCTGAAGACATTGATGAGCTTGTTCAGGTGTGTTTCATTAGGGTTGGAGCTAAAGAACAGTGGCCTGCAGAATCATAGACGGTGCGGTATTCAATGGTACCTTAGGCACGTAGCCTGGTCCACAGTGTAGGACCAGATCCAGATCCCCATAGCCAGATCCTGAGAAAATAATAAATCTTCATAAAATAATATAAAATAATCTTCATCTACGAAAAAGTGTTAGGCTTCATTCTACGAGTGCCACAAAGGAACTGAGTTATCAAATTGTGGTTCCCAAAGACCCATCGTGTAACAGGGCTTGGAAGGCAGCTATGAGACCTTAAGAATGGAAGGGGATAGACCAGGGGTGCCCAAACGTGGTCCTGGAGGGCCGGTGTCCTGCAGAGTTTAGCTCCAACCCTAATCAAACACACCTGAAGCAGCTAATCAAGGTCTTACTAGGCATACTAGAAACTTCCAGGCAGGTGTGTTGAGGCAAGCTGGAGCTAAACGCTGCAGGACACCGGCCCTCCAGGACCGAGTTTGGGCACCCCTGGGATAGACCCACAGAGAAACAATTTTGGAGGAACACTTGCACTGAAGCCACTAGGCAGTTAACTGGGTCCAATTCCCTGCACCATGAGGTGAAAACCCTCCACTTGGAAGGAGTATAATTCCCTCATGGCAGGAGCTCTAGTGTTTAAGATGGTTCAGGAGCTGATCCCCGTTAGGGGTCAGACCCACAGTGATGCGAACAGATCTACTTCCACCTGGCTGAACTTACTCCTAATTCCACCATCTTGGAATGGAGTTTCCTCAGCCCCTGCCTCAACAAGCTGTCTGCTCCCACATTGAGGTATGTGGAATGTGAACTGCTCTGTGAGAAAACAGTTTGCCCTGTGACCATAGAAGGACCTGGTGCACCTGTCTGCATCGATGGTACAACCACAGACCCCCAATGATTTATGTTGATCGTACAGACAAGGATGTGGTTGCCTCTGAGGTTTAGGAGGAATAACTTTTGAGCTAGAAATACAGCTATCATCATTAATGTGCCAAGAGAGATGATGCTGTCTCCACAGACCTTGAGTTGAGTAGCCCTCCAGGACCGTTCCCCAGCCCATGAGGGAAGTGTCTGTCATTAGCATCTTGCAATGGCACGATGCCCCCAGCACAGGTCCCTGGGACAGAGACTAAGGTTTCTTCTGCATCACCAAGGAATGAAGGCATCTGTGCATCACATTTATCATGTGGAATGGGTTTAGTTCTGAGCCACCACTGTAACTCATGTGCTGCAGGCCAAAAGGGTTCACTTGGATGCAGCTGCCATGAGACCCACTGCTGAAATCAGCCAGTCATCGATAAAATTGAGTACATGGATGGCCTGGAGTCTCAAAGGAGCCAGTGCTGCATCCATGTACTTCATGAAGGTGCGAGGGGGTAGTGCTATTGGTATGCTTCGCCCCCGAAAGCAAACCTCAGGAATTTCCTGTGTTGAGGAAGGATAGAACAGCTATGGATAGAAGGATAGAAGAATAGCTTTTTGAACCTGTATCTTCTCAGAGTATGGTTTAACCAACGTAGATCTATCATGGGATGCAACACCCCCATCCTTCTTTGAAATAATGAAGTACCAACTGTAGAAACCAGAAGAAGGAACATGTTCTATGGCCTCCTTTGCCAAAAGGGATGGAACTTCCTGTTCCATTACCCGAGCCTGCTTGGGGGCCACCATTGACAACATGCCATCAAATTTTGATGGTCTAGAATCAAACTGGATTCTGTATCCCCTTTTCTATTGTATGCAGGACCCACTGAGACACATTTGGCAGAAGTTTCCAGGCTGCCACAAAAGTCTTCTAGGGGAATAATCCTTTCGAGGCTGACCTCTGGTGTATCTTGGGAGCTGAGCTTGATGCCCTGAATGAAAGTGTTGCTGCCTGTATGAGGAGCTGGATGTAGATGGCTGGGGCTGCCTTCTGGCAGGAGCCAAAGGTGTCTCTCCATGGCCACCAGTACTGACATGGAGCAGCCGATGACTCAGGATGTCTCCTTGGTGGGCCAGAGAGACAAGTCGGTGGCCTGACGCCAGTCATAACTTTCTTTTGTGGCACACTTCCTGCTTCTCTGCCGGTCTTTTGATGTTAAGCTTAGTCATGGCACGGGTCACAACCTCCAACAGCTCCTTATAAGCAGGGGATATGGGTGGTGAGTCCTCCATATCTCCTGCCTTAATGGAGACGATAGCCACTTCCTCAGAGCTGGATAACATAAACATCGAGCTGTCACTCAGGGCAGAATAATCCTTGGAGCAGGCTTCTGGATCCCAAGCGTGAGTGCTGGAGCATATGGAAGAGAGCCGAGAAAGGGCCAAAGCCATGTTGGGATTTGAACCAATGATGCAATCATTGATTCATCATGCAGTGACAAGAAACCTGAAAAGCACTTTCCATCCAGTAAATCTGGTGGAATCTAGCAGTCTGTAGCTACACTTTGGGCTTTGGGTTCTATATGGAGTGAATACCAATTGAATGTTCCGCTTTTCATGTTAATTAATTTCATGATACTTGTCAATGACCCACTCCCATTAACTGCATTTGAATTTATGGCTTTAATAAAATACTATTTCATGTTATAAAGCTTGCTTTAATAATGGAGTGCACTGATCAGCCTGTGTGATTGTGTGTGTTTGGGCAGATGTAGATGAATGCTCTCAAGGCCTACACACATGCAATGCAGACCAGATCTGCTATAACACCAGAGGCTCCTACACCTGTCAGTGTCATCCTGGATACCAGAAACATGGAGAACAATGTGTGGGTGAGTTCACACTGCAATCTAGTCATCAAAGCAGCCTACTGATATAACTCAGCAATATATACAATAAATATTATCCTATAATAAGTATATATAATCATGCTGGTAAGTGCTGGTTAGTACTGTTTTGGGCTGTTCTAGAAAACAAAACGTATAAACTTGTCAGCCAGTGTGGTCTTTCTGGTCAATCTGGTTGCTGGTTAAGTTGGAGGGTCAATAGGTTTTTGCTAGTTGAACTGGTCTAGGGGGAAATCAAGCGTATCGTTAGTTCTGGCAGGTCACGTTAGTCAAGCTCGCATCAGCTGACCTTCAGCTGATCCCCATCTACCTATGGGAATACGACACCTATCTAAGCATTCATATATAAGGTCCCTCAGTATTATCAGCAATTTTCGCATTGCTCAATAGCTAATTACCCTCCTCCATCCCCAGCTCCTCCTCTGTCAGTCGGGATTCAGCCTTCTGATTCTCCTTGAATCAGACTAATTCTAAAATGTGTACATAAAATGATTGAACTTTAACAATATCTGCAATACATTTATGTAGTTCTGTTCTGTTTACCCTGGGGGGTTATTGCTGCTCTCCCTGCTCTCATCCATGCTAGGCTGCATGGATGCGCAGTGAGTTCTTGCCCAGAACAGAACCATACCGCCAATCCAAACTGTATGCTAATTGTCAATCATCTTTGACGATAGTGGTCCTGACAGAACTCTAGTTGGGAGGGGGGCACTTTCAGCGACCTTTTTTAGTGTCTATTATGCTTTAGCATCAAATATAAATACTTCTGTAAAACAATATTACTCTTATATTTCATGTAAATAATATGCTAATAATGATAATTGGCTTTAATTCACAATAATCTCAGTGATGCACTGAAATTAAATTATTTTTTTTTCTTAAATAATAGACACATTTACTGGAAATTGTTCTTACCCGTAATTAGTGTTGGGTAACAATAGTTCTCAGCATTTCTGCCAGGCTTGTCTAGCAAATGACGAAGCACTCACTGCATTCAGAACAGACATTTTAATTTACATTTATGGATTTAGCAGACACTTTTATCCAAAGAAACTTACAAAAGCAATGTCAGGTTTATTAGACAGCTTTTCGGTGCATCCCCAAGACTTTAAATTAGGTAAGTGAGTAGGTAAGTAAGAAAGTAAACTTAATTAGGTTCTCGGTCTGAGCCCCCCCCTTTAAATTCCTTGAACTCCCTAGAATGATTTTATTTAATAAAACATTCTCAAACACGTTAATACTTGTCTTCATTACCTTCCACATCAGACTTGGTCTATTAAGAAAATAATCTTCATTTACGAATAAAGTTTTTTCTATCACCCTGTAAATGTGTTAAGAATCCTATATAAGTTTAATCAAGCACTGTGTGTGTAAACCTCTTTGCAGATAGAAATGAGTGTATGCTATCACACTACTGCATGCACAGATGTGTGAACACTGCTGGCTCTTATTACTGTGAGTGTAAAGATGGCTACCAGCTCGCCAGCAACAACCACAGCTGTGTAGGTGAGTCAAAGACCTAACCTGCCTTCCTGTCTGCACAGCTTTGCACAAGAGTGTGTGTTCAATGGAATTCAAGATATCCTGCAGTATCTCTCTCTCTCTTAATGTACAACCCTCTCTTTGTAAGTAGCACATTACATTGAGCCAATGAATTAAAAAATTGCAAGGTGTTGAAGGGGATTGTTTGAGTTAATCTAAAAAATATTAAAACATTAAATAGCAGTCTGTGTTTTTAAGTGTTATATTGACTGTAGAAGAATCATTATTAGGCAACATACAGGAATCTTCTTATATATTAAAGTGGTATGTTATCGTTTTACTCTTATTGTCACTCTTAATACCATAAAGTGAAATAGATGTCAGTACGATATAAGGGCAAGAAGGCCTAGCTGATGTCCTTCATATTAGCATGCTTAACAGCTCTGCCAAGAATTTGATTTCAAATATTTAACAAAGGAATTTAAAAGATCTCATAGGGCGGACAAGAGTAAGAGGAGCTTCAAATTAAAGGTGAATCTGTTAGCACAACATATTTCAAAAGGAGAGAGACCCGTTGGAATCGATCCTAGGGTTTACTGGAACAGCCAAATGTAGTGCCCACCCTCTATGTTGATGTAAGGGGGTCTTTCAAAGGTTTAATTTGCAACTCCACATTGTTCAGCTGTTTTGAGGATACTCAGGAATGTGAAACTTTAGCCTGATATCTAAATTCTGAATCAAAGCTTGAAGGTCTTTGCCAATAAATTATGTTTGTTGATCAACAACATCAGGAATTCTTCAGCGAGGAAAGGTTTCCTGCAAAGGTTTTTTTTTTTTTTTTTTCACATGCACTCAATGGAAATTGAAGAACATACTAATAAGAACGGGTCTTAGGACCAGTACAAACACACCACATATGTGTCCAAGGTTCTGTAGGTCTGTCTGCAGGGAAGGATTTTATTAAGCCTCATGATGAACTAAAGAATGTTTCTTTTACAGGCAGCTTAACTGATGCATATGGTGCCCAACTATAACTATATATAAGATGTGGAAATTATTTACAACTGTTATACATTTTAATGCTGAACCATTCCAATTTCTCTTTTTTCAACATTGTTGCATCAGTTTGTAGAAGTGCCCTTTTCTGCTCCAAAATGACAGTGCTCTTGTGCTCAAAGCAGGGTCTATAATAGAAATAGTTTACAAAGTTGGATTAACTTGACTGGCCTGCACACCCACTCACCCAACATTAGTGCCTGACCTGATGCTAATACTGATGCTCGTGTCTTGTCTTATGGAATATTTCATTAAAACATATGATCAACGCCAACATATTTGTGTTATAATACCACTCTGATATGTTTACAATTGCACACACCACAATTTTATTTCTTAACAAAAAAGACAAAAGACCAACAACTATCAACAAAGATGATCAACCAAAGGCAAAATATTCTGTTTGCCCATCAAGTCTGTGACTTTGATTTTCTGCAGAAAGGCGTAAAGAGTGGTCTGCTTTGATTTAGAAACACTGGATTCAGTGCTATGGTTTGAGTATCATATCTCAGCTTGTGATGTTCCTCATCTGTAAACTGCTTTGGATAATCCATAGAAGAGTTCATCCATCATGCAAAGGAGGCAGAGCCAGGAGACTAGATGGAACCGGCAAAGAAGGCTGAGTCAGGGAAGTGAGGTGGGGCCAGGGTACTGGACAGAACTAGCCGAGGAGGAAACACAAACACAGCTCTTACAGGTCTATAAAAGTGTAGGCATGTCTTAACAGGTAAAAGTAGGTCAATAAAAGGTGCAACATATTAGAAATACTTTTAACTTGAAGTTTAGCTTACCTGTCAAAAAAACCCCGCAAGTTCTTCATATCGATTTAAACCCAAACATTCCATCAAGTTCCTTCATCTTGTAAAGCCCCGTTCACACCAAGCACGATAACGATAAAGATATAGTTCTAAAAATCGTTCTCAATATTAAAGAATAGCACAGTTCACACCACAACTATAACAATAATGATACAGAGGAACGATATCGTTGTGATCACTTTCAAAACGATTTTTTTCCAGCTGAGGAACGATAAAACACTGACAGCCAATCAGAATCCATCCTGCTGTAATGAGTTTGAGAATTTAAAGCGGCAGACGCATGTGCGCTTAGAATAAACAGACGATATCGTTCACTGGTGTGGACGCTAATATCGTTATCTTTATAGTTATCGTTCTTGGTGTGAACGGGGTTTAACAGTACTGCCAGTGTTTACCCTTGTTTCACCCCATCATCTGTCTCTGTGTATTTTGGCGTGCTCTTTGAAAATCGGTTAAACACTCTCTGGTCAGCCTGTTACAGTAGCCACGCCCCAAACTCTCTCTATTGGCAGTGTGTAGGTATGCAAATATATATATTTACTTCCTAACCTGCTGTAATTATTCATTGCTATCAGGATGTGAACAGACTTTCAACAAAAAATATTTCTGGAAAAAATTGCCTACACTACCTTTAACATAGCAAAACAAGAACTTGCAAAAGACAACTGAAACAATAAAGAGCTATTAGACACAGGATAATCATTAACTAAACTAAACACAGGTGAACATAATAAGCTGCTAAGGAAACAGATCTAACACAAGAAGTAACCAACAGGAACTGTGAAAATTCAGGAACAGTTCAAAATACAAACTAAGAGTTCTTGGATTGTCACTCGTTATTAACTTTTTGTTTATTAAACTGTTGTATAAAACGTCACACTTGCAATTGTGCCCTTAATCGGGAAATAATCTTGCTTGTATGATACTGCTTAACTATATTTTATGATGTAAATATACTTTTGTTTGCCCCCATATCTTGATTTTTGTTTGGATTGTCAAATGAACACCTTGATAATGAAAGTATGCACTAGCAAGGCATGTTTTTGTTTGGGCTTTGTAAAGTGAATGACATCCTCGATAATGTCAGCTCACACATTAAAACAACAATTACGGTGGTGTTGTAGACAGTTGATATTGCACACCCCTACTTGATGCTTTAGACTGTTTTTGTTGTTAGAGAAGAAATATGTGAACTAACTGTCCAAATAAATTGTTACTATTAACCAACGTATTAAACTATTGTTAAAAAGCAATATTACACTTGGAATTGTGCTGAATATAACTATGAGTAAATTACCTGTAGATAGATTACCGATATAATTGTATTCAGTAACTGTGTATGGATTTGGCTTTTGTTTCAGATGTGAATGAGTGTGATCTGACTCAGCCGTGCCAACATCAGTGTTTCAACCTCCTGGGCTCATATGTCTGTCAGTGTGATCAGGGTTATGAACTCGCGCCGGATTCAGTCTCATGTGTGGGTAAGTGCTAACGCTGGATCTTCCTGTGCTTGGTTTGAGTGCACTTTCTGCTTGCCAAGTGCATTAGGTTTTAGAGAAAATCATTTCAGTTAGAAAGAAAGACGAGTGAACACCAAAGTTTTAAATCATCAATCCCCAAGTCCCCATTATTGTGATTAGAGTTATTCTTACAGAAAGAGCACATTCATTACTTGACTTGTGACTCATTTTATATGTATGTAATATGTTTAGGTGTATTAATTCACCTGCTAGCAAAGCACTTCAGATTACCGGCGCTCATTCACTCTTCAGCTTCAGCTCAAACATCGATCAAACTGAAATGTTTTTACATTTTGTGCATTTTCATCTAAAATTCAACCAATGTTTGAGTTCGAATTTTTGATTGGACAGCCCTACAATTAATTCTTTATCATTAGCTAGATAGTTTTCAGCCTGGTTTTAGACAAAGATGATGGATGTGTTTCCTCAGTGTGGTTTAAATGTCACCGTTTGTTGAGTTTGTGTTTCTGCTGTGTGTCCAGACATCGATGAGTGCGCATTCTCCAGCTACATGTGCCAGTATGTGTGTTTTAACAGCCCGGGTGGATATTCCTGCATCTGCCCAGAGGGATATCAGCTGCAGAGAACAAGAATGTGTCAAGGTATCAGCCTCCTCCTTCATAAAATATAGCACTCGTCATTGCCTGGCCTCCTCTCTATCCATCCACACCCAGATATTTCACATCAGAGCAAGATGGGCCAGGAATTCCCAACCACATGCTAATGGAAACAATGCATGGGTTACACTTCATTTTAAAGTGTCCTTGTTGCAGTTTAATTATACATTTAAGCACTGAGTAAAATTAATTAACAACATGCACTTACTATAGGGTTAGGGTTTGGTTTAGGGTTAGTTGCGTGTAATTATGCATTATTTACCGTTATTACTAGAGTGCAGGTAACGTGTAACAAGAACACTAAAAATAAAGTTACCTTCATACTTGAAACAAAAAGGCTGTTTATCTCTTCTAAACAGAGGGAAAGATGTTTAGATGAAGCTTATGTTGTGTATCTTGCCACTTGAATTTCCAGTAGCAATATTACTTTTTACCGTAATTCAACATCCTTCTGACTGAAATGGGATATTCAACACGAAAAAAATTGTGTGTTTTTTTGCCTGGAGCATGGAGCAAGTTGTTTGGCCTGTTGGAAGGCCTGTATTCTCATATATAGATTACGGTAGATATGACATGTTGCTAATCACAGTCTTTTCTCTGGTATCATAGACATCAATGAGTGTGACACAGGCCACGAGTGTAGGGAAGATGAGATGTGCTGGAACTATTACGGAGGTCATCGCTGTTACCCTCAGAACCCATGTCTGGAGCCTTACGTGCTGACGTCGGAAAAGTAAGTCAGTCTGTGTTTATATCCTAGTACTAGAGCTAGAGATGAAGATCACAGAAATTGACCAGAGACACTTAAAGGTCCCCTGAAATGCTTAGAAACAGCAGCGTTACTCTATGTGTTGACGTCATTTTAACTGAAACAGGAAGACAGGGCGGGACATATCAAGCAGCCCCGCCCCTTTTTAAAATAGCCAATAGCGTTCGTTTATATCACAGCTTGGGCTAGAGTCGTTCAGAGCCGTTGAGCTCCGTAAAGCCGCATTTGACAGGGTATGCCAGCCACAATCTCATCCATATTGCTATAAAA